AAAATTTGAGCATCTTATTACTGTAAAAAAAATATACATTAATGTAAAAAAGAAACTCCAAATAAACTATGTACTCACCCAGAATCAAACCCAGGTCCTCAGCATGACAGTCAGCCATCTTACAAGGTGAGCTAAAGCACCAGTAACATTAAATGTATATCTGTAATGTTTATATCCTTCATGACAGCTGCAACAACGTTCAAAGAACGGTTCGGAGCGAAAATGGCTATTTTGTTGCTAATTTGCAGGAAATATCTAGAAGAAAGTAGCTAAGGGTCCTCAGAAATGTAGCTAGGTTCATCACTAGGCGTTAGGAACAGCGACAAAGTCGCTGAGTTGGCACTACCTCACTCTCTGCAGCTAAAGCTACCAGAACTGCGGCTTCCTTTTCAATTTTCAAGAAACTCCTGAAGACCCTGCTCTTCAGAGAGCATCTTCTAAACTAGCACCATCCCTGCACCCCCACCCCCCTCTACTGTCCACTCCTTTGTTCCCTCCTCGCAATTATTGATGTCAAGTTGTTGTTATTGTTGTTAGCCTCAAGGGCAACATGCCGATTATCACTTGTACGTCGCTTTGGACAAAAGTGTCTGCTAAATACATAAACATGAGCATAAAGCTACTGATAGCAAGTGCTACGGGCGATGCCTGAGCGTGAAGCATGAAGCAGCCTGCTCGACCCGAGCATCTCTCTTTTTCTGTGATTTTACAGAAAAACAGGCAATCACAGTAAAAATGCCTGGGCTCATTCTACAGGACCAGGGCATTGCAGGAGAATGTATGAAGAAGACATTTATTATTTCTATACGTGTTTTGACTGTCAAACTTCCATAATGTCCCTTTAAAAGATCAGTTCCTAAACTCTTTAAAAGCTGAAAATCTCAATAGTTTGTGAAAATAAGCTTCCATATATTCCTTAGATTTAGGAAAAGTTACTTTTTTGTGTCCTTGGGAAAGACACTTAACCCACTTTGCCTGCTGGTGGTGCTCGGCAGGCCTCGCCTCTGTCAGTGCGCCCAGGGCAGCTGTGGCTACAATTATAGCTCATCACCACCGGCGTGTGAATGTGTGTGTGAATGGGTGAATGACTGATTGTGTTGTGAGGTACCTTGGGGGGTTGTAGAACCCTAAGAATGTGCAATACAAAAACAGACCATTTACCATTTGCTCTTTAAATAAACTGAGGAAGGTTTTATCAGTGTGTAACGGATGCAATCTTCAACCTTTGCTATCATTGAAACACCAGTCGAACACCCAAATACGTCATGCATAAGTACACAGTAGACGTTATATGTTCCCCAGGTACCAGCGTGACATAATAACAGTGACTTTTACACTCTAAGCCTCCGGGGTCATTTAAACAGGTTGGCATTATTCAAAGCTGTTTTATTGTTGCATGCAGGAGACTGATTTAATAGCACTCAAACCCAAGGTGGCACCAGACGTTTTTAACACTGAATTAGCGAGACTGTAGGTCCTAATAAAACACAGGCCTCTGTTTCCTGAACTGTACATTGACCCGTTCATAACCCGTTAAAGTAAGCTCCCACCTTGTGCTGATAATGAACTGGCTGATGAAGAAGTACATTAGTGGTCAGGTCCAACCAAAAGCAGCTGGGGCATGTGGCCAGGACCATAAAATACATGAGCAAAAATATCGCACAGGGTTCTGCGAAAGTTGAGCAATTACAATAAAAATGTAGCAGGGGGCATTTACAACCAACGAGCAGGCCCACAGTGGGTGTTAGAGAAATGACGATGCAAACTGGGAATGGCACCGCTGGCGTGGGACAGTGGCAGGGTACTAGATGATTTAGATGCTGTGAGTGAGACTGCAGACCTATAATCCTGAAGGCAGAGAACACGATAGTGACAGGGGAAAGAAGAGGGGCAAAGTCTGGGAGCGCGAGACCAAGAGCCACTAGAAAAAAGCGACTATGGGACAGCAGGCTGAGTGAGTAAGAGAGACAAAAAGCAAAAGAGAGGGTAAGGGATGGACAGAAAGCAGCCAGACATGCAGGCAGACTGTCCGTCTCTGGTTTGTGGGAATGCGGTAAAGACACAGTAGTAGGCAGGGTCCCGGCTCTGAAATTAGAGAGTGGCGCTAAGAGAGGGGAGCCAGAGCCAAAGGACGTCTGGGAGCTGCCAGGGGCTGCATCCCCAGCACACTGCCGAAACATGATTTACCGCTGGGCTGCACTACAAACGGCATTCTGCCTTTGGTGCACTATCTAGCTCTCAGCAGCACACCACCACCCGCTGGCATGCTATCGAGTTCACAAAGTCAGAGGAGACCACATCAACGGTGGGAAGTGTTTATGTGAGAAAAACGAACTCAGCCTGATGCAGGATGGAAAAGCCAAAAATACATTATTAAACAACATTAAATACTTGCTTCTGTTCTTGATGTTTATCAGAAGCAAGGAATGTTTAGGAAATCACTGGAATTTTATTTTGAAAAACCTTTTTACTTTGTGGACAGATCTAAGTAGTCCTTAGATGTAAATCTACACCTGATTAAACTCTCAAGATGGCCACCAAGCCAACAATAACAGGTCACTAGGTAACTTACTAAGAAATGTGTCATTCTAACATGACCATGTTTGTCAGCAACAAGTATTCTAACACGTCATTACTTCCAGTCTAGCAATCAGATTACAGTTTCGTCTACAAGTTACTGTGGATTATTACTTCCTTCACTTCTTTTTCCGTGGTCAAAGATACATTTGCAGTCTTCTTACATCTCAGTGACACACGCCGCACATGTGATGAGTTAAGCCTGATTTATACTTCTCCGTCTGCGTTGGTGCGGAGACACGCAACGAACGCCATTATGCGTCGGTGCAAGGGCTCTCCAACAGGCCCACAGAGGCTGACGGAAACACGCCCAAAATTTTAAACATCCGTCGAAAGTGACGGAGACTGCAGGCTTGTGATTGGTCAGGATGCTGCTTCCTGTAAATTCGTCGCCAGCACCGCCGTTGCCTCGTTAAAAAGTAAAACGATATTTAGCGGCCGACCCAGAACAGATTGAAGAATGTGGAAAAAGTCCGAAACATGAAGGTTTATTCACCCGTGACTGAAGGAGTGCAAAAAAACAAATGTGGACAGAAACAACAGAAAACGTGGGTTTGAAGGTGGCGACCGCATAAAGAGGTCAAGGAGAATGAAGGACAAGTCTCTGAAATATATAAACACATTAGTAAATACGCTATCACGGACCGGGTATATAATAATAATAATAATAATAATAATAATAATAATAATGCATTGAACTTATATAGCGCTTTTCTAGACACCCAAAGACGCTTTCCACACACTCTCACATTCACACACTGCTAGTGATGGTAAGCTACTTGTAGCCACAGCCGCCCTGGGGAGGTCTGACAGAGGCGAGGCTGCCACTTGGCGCCGTCGGCCCCTCTGACCACCACTAACACAGGCAAGTTGGGTGAAGTGTCTTGCCCAAGGAATCAACAGCAGATACCCCTGGCGGGAGCTGGAATCGAACCCATGACCCTCCGATCATGAGGCAACCCACTCTACCACCTGAGCTACTGCTGCCCCAAAGAAAATATAAGCGTTATGGCGGCAGGATACCACAGAAAAACGCTACGTGGGCAATTGCTTTGCAACGCTCCGCTGTCTGCGCTGAAGTTTGCATGTGAAAACCTTTTTGAAACTCCATGTGCATCTCTCGGTAGCGAAGTTCACGGGGAAGTATAAATCAGGATTTACATTTTAATACAAACCAAGCGCAGCTGGCCGCAGAAATGGTTGTAAAATCAGAAGAAGAAGATTACTCTGTCAAGGTAACTGAGTCAACACAGCTAACCTACCTTGGCAAACTCAAAAAGGACCCAACTCAGTCATTTTTACATGTCCCCACCAACTTGAATGTATTAGTAAATGAATCATTTATAAATAGTGATAGATTTTGTGACATCATGCATAAAAGTAATTTTCATTATGTGACTACAAACACAATAACCACGTTATTTCCTAAAATCTGATGATCTCAGTATATTAGTCCTTCGAGTACCTTTGAGTCGTGGTAGGCCTTCAGTTTTATTTACTTTCTGGGTTTTGAATGTGTTCATCATCGGGGTCAGTGTGCTGTCAGATCATGTAAGAAAGAGGAGGTAAAGCTTTGAATTAGCAATATTCAAATACAAAAACTCAAGGTTTTGATCATGTCAGTCATAACAGCCTCCATGCCAATGTCTACGTTAACTTTCATTTGAGGCCGGTTTCAGACAAAGCCAGTCAAGGTAATTTCACTGCAGTGTTGCTTTTGAAAGGGGTGCATTAAGTATTTGCAATACTTTTCATATTGTCACTTAAAACAGACAATTATGATGGTGAGTTTATGTTCCCTGAAAGAAGCCCTGGATGGTGATACTGTATGTGGGCTATGTCTATGTTATGGAGGGTGCAACATTTCTGCAACACTACTTAGTGCTGATGAATAGAACAGTGTAAACAGATTAAAGAGGCCACTCAAATAGAAGAGAGTCCTCGCATATTTGACAAAGGGGAGGAGGTTACTAGAATCGAGTAGAATAGAATAGACTATTGATCCCACAGTGGGGGAATTCACTTTTCACTGATTCACAAATTCACTAATAGGCTGAGGACTCCACTGTATAATGCTAACCTGTTTGCTTGTGTACGTATGCAGATGCAAGCATCCTGAAAACAAGGTGCTGGTGTTTTTTTTGATCCCCAGTGGATGTTTCCCCACAATGCCACAGTGATACTAGGGCAGGTGTGTGCAGATGCATCTTCTACTAGCAGACGTGCAATCAGCACAGGGAGATCACTGTAGGAGAAAAATTCAAAGAACCAGATTTAATCAGAAAAGAAAAACAGGGCGAGCTTTATGCTGGGTGATTGTGTTGTGAAGCCATCGCCGGCCTTGTACGAACATGCAAGAAGATTCTGCAAAAGCTTGTCTGCAGCACCAGTCGAAGCATTGAGAATGTGTGTGTGTGTGTGTGTGTGTGTGTGTGTGTGTGTGTGTGTGTGTGTGTGTGTGTGTGTGTGTGTGTGTGTGTGTGTGTGTGTGTGTGTGTGTGTGTGTGTGTGTGTGAGATAGAGGGAGTGTGTGTGGATGTGCTTCCTTTGCCAAGTTTCCTCTCTTTGTTTAGACCGGTCTGGTCAGTCCAGTTCCCCACTGAGCGCATAGTGGCCAAACACACATATATCAAAACACAGCTAAACAACAGGGTACTCTCAGGGCAGAGGAGTGCTGGGAAATAGGAGCAAATTGGAATTTGGAGAAAGACAAAGTGATGTCCTTTCAAAAACACACAGAGAGCGAGGAGCGGCATTAGAAAGACAGAGAAGAGAACAGCATACAAGCGGAGATGGGGTGCCTTGCTGGTGAGACTTTAGCAGTAAACATTAATACACTGGCAGCAGAGATCCAATGGAAGAGAACAAATTGTTGCATTCAGCTCTATTTCTACAAAATGCAACGGATTAATCTCAGTGGAAAAAAATCCCACGAACAGTAGGAAGCAATTAGAGTCTTGGTGTTGTATTTACATCTTTGATTCTAAGACCCAAAAACAAAATGTTTCCATATGCCAACATGAAGGAAACCTGCATGAGGTTGCACGTAGATAAAGGTTTGCAAACAATGAATTATCTTTTTTACTGAGGCCTTATATGTAATAACAATATGTCCTCTGCTGCTTTAGAGCTTACAAATGTATACACTGAGGTTAAGGAGACGATTCCCTCCTTCATAGACCAGGTATGGGACCTACAGTATGTGTTTACTCTCACATCACCACATAAACTTCAACACGTGACCTTCAACTTGTGGATCTTTGGGTTTATAGGACTTTGGCACATTTGGCAGGAGATGTAAAGAAAGGGGAAACAGATGGGTCTACTTTTTTCTGAATAAGTTCAAAGATAAATACATTATTGCAGTTCAAATAACACGATGGCATCACACAGCTGCTGCAGATGTGTCAGCTGAACCTCCTGTTCCTCTATATCCTCAAGGTTCTGGACCAGAATACGATCTGGTGACTGCGGAGGCCGTTGGAGAGGTTGAAGAAACCAGTTTGAGATGACAGCTTTGTGACGTGGTGTCACCAAATTCTGACTCAACCATCTGAAAGATGTAGCAGAACTCACTCTCATCTGACCTCTGACACCAAAAAGACTTTTTCATCCACGCAACTCCAGAGCACTCTCTGCACATCCCAAAAATGTTGTGGCTGAAAATGCCAGTAGAGCCATGGTTTCTGAAATCTCACGCCATCTGAACAAAGTACCAGCCTTTTTTCTGTTTTGATGCTCAGTTTGAACTCCGGCCATCTTTGCAACTTTGAAAGCTGCTGCCATGTGACTGGCTGATTTGATATCAAATCAGATGAAATCAGGTTTACTTGTATAGCACTTTAACCCTCTGTAGGCAGGCATTGCAGATTTGCAGCATTAAAACCTACCTACCTGGTTACTCCACATACGTATTTAATAAGCATTTTTTAACTCAGAAGTACCCCTGAAGGACTTAGTTGTTCATCCTTTTATCAAAACGTATTTTGAGCCTGAGAGGGTTAAAATAAGAAAAATAAACAGGACTATCAAGTCAACTAGAAATAAATCCATATCTATGTTAAGTAAATAAGCATGAGTACCAATGGAGTGGCCGACAGGTGCAGCTTTGTTAACCTGGATGCCAAATTGGTGTTTGCTTGGGCAATCAGTGATGTCATTTGCCTGATCAATCACAGCCCATCACATCACAAAATTGTCCTTATTGAGCCAAATAGAGCAGAAGCTAACAAGACATATTAAATGCAGTTGTGGTAAATATAAATGGACGCTGTTCTTCCAGTGTGGAAAAAGCAACAAATGGTAAACAACCTCAAGTGGTTTTAGGGCCTGGGTAAATTCTTTTGGAATTGATCTTGTATTAAAAATACGAGTGGAAACCTGAAAGCCCAACTTGGAATCTGCTGAAGGGACAAGTGTGTGTGTGTGTGTGTGTGTGTGTGTGTGTGTGTGTGTGTGTGTGTGTGTGTGTGTGTACAGCTCCAGGGTCCTTGTCTCAAAAAGCTCTACAGTGACTTTGTATATAACCAGTCCACACACACACACACACACACACACACACACACACACACACACACACACACACACACACACACACACACACACACTGCCCCCCTCAGTCCTCACAGACTCTTAACAAACACGACTCTCTGTCTTGTCCTTCAAGTATTTGCAGTATTTGGCCTTGCTGTAATTTACAACATACTTACCTAATTGGGATGCTATTAAAGTCAGAGCACAGTTATTTTATTTTTTCGTGTGTGTGTGCCTCACACACATTCATCCGATGTGAGCGAGACATACACAGCCTTGGATAAATGTCCTAATATAGCAGGTTGAGGTCAACCATGGGTGTCTTGAGCAGTGTTACGTCTGAGCCTGCCTGGAGGGCACATTGCTGCATGCTTTCTTAAAAACCACTGATGGATTTACACAGAAAGTTCTAAACACAACTCTAGGGAATCTTACATGGCTGAATGGTGCTGAACGAGACAACTGCACGGTTTTATCATGTCTGAAATTGACAGAAGAATGTTTAATGTTGATGAAATGCAGTCACGCTGTAGACTAAAGAAGCAGGAACTTTAAGTGAAAACATTTCTACACAATTAAATGGATTTAGACATTTATGTTGTTAGAAGATGTGTTTGTCCAACCCATTTAAAGAGAAAACTTTCCAGTTTGAAGTGTGTTTCTGTGTAGAACATAAAAACGAGTACTGTCTTAATGTTGGCTTTGGGAACAGCCTTTGTTCAGAGAAAGACAGTTTCCATTCAACAGGACTGATGAGCTAACAGCGCGTCTGCAACATTGGTTGCTGTTTTCTTTGAAGTCCAGGTTCACAGAGAAAGTGTTTTTTACTTGCTATTTTTGAAATATGATCAGTCCCTCTGAGGTTCACGTGCAGGCTAAAGGTGAAAATCGACCTCTACACCTATGTTCTGCATTTGCTGCTGATAGAAACTAGACGGGAAAACGCTTGGCTTAGAAAAGCCTGACAGATTTATGTCACTGAAAATTAGCATGCATGGAGTCAATCATATTGGCTTGTGAATGGGGAAGGCTGTTGTTGGCTTAGGGTCCAGGAGATAACAGAGGGCGTCTTGACTAGTATAAGCTAGCAGGTAGCATTGGCAACTACACCACATGGCAGAACTCCTTCAGGCTCGTGTTATTTATGGAGAAAATACATCAATGTTGTAAAGCAAAGAGAGTCAGCAGTGGAGTCGTGTTGCTGTTAGCCAATCAGAAGTGAGGTGTACTAATGCTAATGTACAGAAAAAAATTGAATGAACATGGTCTTTAAATAGCCTAATGAGTTTGTACTTGTAGTGTTTTCCTGTGTTTTTTTCCACACAGACTAACCTGCGAGCAAACCACGAAAAGTCACTAAAAGCCACTTGATTGTATGTCATTACTGTTGTATTCTATTCTATTCAAAAATACTTTATTACTCCCAGGGGGAAGTTGATTAAATTAATAATAAGTAATAGTAACAATAAGTAATATTGCATATTTAATATTTTCAATAATTAATTAACTGTTTTCTTTACATTAGCAAATAAATAGATAGATCGTTTGAAAGAGAGAATTTTCAGATTGTCATTTTATGTTTCAAGTTTTAAAGTTCGAAAAAATATTGACCCAGACTAATTAAATGGAATTACAATATTTCATCTAAATGAAAATTTACTACATTTTCTAGGAGTATAAGTTTTCTAGTGCATAGAAATCCACAATTATGTATGCATGCAATATAGTCACAATTTATAAGAAATATGAAAAAAAAAACTACCATGAACGATTTATTACTAGTCAAAAAACTAGGTCTATGTATTCATTTAAGCGTTTCTCTTCAGTGTTAGGGTTGGGCATTTATGCATTTAGCGTGAATAAATATTTTTTTACATACCCTGTAATGAACATCTGACTTGACACAAAGTAAACACCACCTCCTATTTAATTAAAGGCTGCAACCCTCAGCTCTACACACTCATTTGAAGTTGCTCACTCACTCTGACACACACTTCAAACACACATATTTAAATCAACACTTCATCCAAACATTACAAACATCACACAGTTAGGGTTTCAGACTTTCACATTGTTTTTACAAATGACTCATTTCTTTTAAAAACAAGAGGCAGAAATGCAGCAGAAACCCCTACATCATGACCCCCCCCTCCACACACACACACACACACACACACACACACACACACACACACACACACACACACACACACACACACACACACACACACACACACACACACACACACACACACACACACCTGACAGCCCAGACACTGTTTAAGCTTGTCATTTAGATATGTTTCATTGAGTGTGCCTGGCAGAGAGATAACACCGTGTCACAGAGTGCCATCCATCTTTGTTTCCTAGCTACTCTCCGAGAATTCAATCTTGAGAGTGTGAGGCTTGACGTGTCGGTGATTAATCAGCTCAATGTTCATTTGAGTGTGAGTGCTTGTGTGCTCATCTGTATGTGTCTTTGTCCCACATGTGATGAATCAATGTCTAACTCTTTACTGGGCATGGAAGGCCCGGACGCCCTTCTGCTCATAGAAGATAAATTAATTTGCAACTGATCTGTAGACAAAAGTTGGGCAGGAAAATGACTCTATTTTACTCAGCTGGAGCATTAGGAAGATGTTAAATCTGCTGTTTTACAGGGAGGTAGGAGGAGAAAGTCAGTATTTCTCCAGAGAGAGGGGAGAAAAAAAGCTGGAGCCTAACCAAGAGTGAGTACCAAGATAGGCATGGGAACACACACGTACGCACACACGTACTCACACACACCAAATCTGATTCAGCTGTCAGCCTTAAGGTTTTCTAGGTTTTTAGATGGACCTTTAGAAGCAACATACAGAAGGAAGCAGAAAAACGCAGCTGAACATTTGCAAAGAAAAACTGTTTTAATTTGTTTTTTTTTCGCTTTTTTATATTATTTATTTTCATCAATAAATGATAAATGGGGCAGGAGTAGCTCAACAGGTAGAGCGGATTGCCTGGTAATCGGATGGTTGCAGGTTCAATCCCGGCTCCGGACAGAGAATTCTGCTGTTGTGTCCTTGGGCAAGACACTTAACCCACCTTGCCTGCTGGTGGTGGTCGGAGGGACCGGTGGCGGTGTGCTTGGCAGCCTTGCCTCTGTCAGTGCGCCCCAGGGAAGCTGTGGCTACATCGTAGCTCATCACCATCAGTGTGTGAATGTGTGCGTGAATGGATGAATGATGCACTGTAGTGTAAAGCGCTTTGGAGTCCTTACTCTGAGAGGCACTATACAAGTGCAGGTCGTTTATCATTTATCATTTAAAGTTTAAATTAAAGGTATCGCAGAGGATCTTTTTCTTCTGGGTGGATCATCTGAACCACTGGTCCACATAACTGTCAATCTTTCTGGTGAACCATTCACATAAGGCCGTCGTCATACGTGCTTGTTGTTGGGTAATTTTCACTTGCTGTTCAAAGCAAAGGTTGGGCTCCCCACAGACGCCTCTGTCGCAGGTGTTCTGCTCGGCAGGTAGGCTAAAGTTCGGCATGCTATTTGAAGAAAATAATTTCAGATTACTGCAAGAAGAAGTTTGCTGCAAGGCCAATAGCTACTTGTAGGAGATCCCCTGTCTGATGAAGCCAACGGGACCATTTCATCTGCAAAAAGCAGAGACGTGATCTTTAGATTACCAAAATAGATCCCCTCAACACCGTCGCTGCTCCTAAAAATCCTGCCCATAAAAGGTATGAACAGAATCGGTAATAAAGGGCAGCCATGGCTGAGTCCAACTCTTACCAGAAACAAGCTCAACTTACTGCCAAAAATGCAGACCAAGCTCTGACATCAGTCATACATGGGCCTAACAGCCCATGTCAAAGGGCCTGGTACCCTATACTCCCAGAATACCCCCCGCAGGGCCCCCCGATGGACACGGTTGAATGCCTTCCTCCAAATCCACAAAACACATGTAGATAGGTTGGGCAAACTCCTATGCACTCTCCAGGATTCCCCTAAGGGTACAGAGCTGGTCCAGTGTTCCACGGCCAGGATGAAAACTACATTGCTCCTCCTGAATCTGAGGTTCGACAATCCGACAGACCCTTCCCTCGAGAAACCCTGAATAAACCTTACCAGGGAGGCTCAGTGTGACACCCTGTGGTCCCCCTTTTTAAATGGGGGGGACCACCACCCTGGTCTGCCAGTCCAGTGGGACTGCCCCCGATGTCCACGTGTTGATACAGAGCCACATCAGCCAACACAGCCCTACAACATCCAGAAACTTAAGGAACTCCAGGCGGATCTCATCCACCCCTGGAACGTTGCCACCAAGGACCATTTTGACAACCTCAGTGACCTCAGCCCAGAGATTAGAGAGAACAACCCAAAGTCCACAGACTCACTGAGAGACGTGCAATAGAATTGAGGAGGTCTTTGAAGTACTCTGCCCACTGATCCACAATGTCTCAATTCGAGGTCAGCAGCACACCGTCCTCACTATAACCAGTGCTGGTATCACACTGCTTTCTCCCGGGAGGTTTCGGATGGTGGATCAGAATCTCCTCAAAGCCATATGGAAGTCTTGCTCCATGGTCTCACCGAACTCCTCTCACACCTGGGTTTTTGCCTCCCCGACCACCACAGCCGCATTCTGCTTAGACTGCTGGTACTTATCAGCTGCCTCTGGAGTCCAACAGGCCAAAAATATTTGATGGTACCCTTCCTTCAACTTGACAGCATCCCTAACTGCCGGTGTCTATCAGCAGGTTTGGGGGTTGTCACCAGGACAGGCACCAACGGCCCTTCGGCCACAGCTCTGGTCGGCCGCTTCAACAATGGAGTCATGGAAAAGGGCCCATTTGGCCTTAATATCCCCCGCCTCCCACGGAATATTTTGGAAGTTCTGTCAGAGGTGGGATTTGAAACTCCTTCTGACGAGACTTTGCCAGACCCTTACAACACCTTTGGGCCTGCCAGGTCTGACTGCATCCTCCCCCAACATCGAAGCCATCTCACCACCATCATTGGTCAGTTGACAGCTCCACCTCTCTTTTCAACTGAGTGTCTAAGACATGCAGCCACAAATCAGACAAAACGACAACAAAGTTGATCATCGAGCTCTGGCCTAAGGTATCCTGGTGCCAAGAGCACATATGGACACCTTTATGCCTCAACACGGTGATCTTTTTGGACACTGCCAGAACCATCAAAACAAGATATGCATGCTAGCACAAAGTAAGAACAGGTAGTGGGTGGGTACCCGAGCAAGAGAAGTAGTAATTATGAAGGATTTGTGACTCAAAGTGACAGCCCTTTGCAGCCGTTGTGGTGCTGCACTATGTGAAAGTGCTTGTTGCGTCAGTGCAATTTATTGATTTATAGAGAAAAAAAAAGGGTTTACTTATTTTATGAAAAAAAAAAGTCTTCAGGGCTACAATGATTTGTTTCCAAAATGTACTTGCCCCTAGTTAATTGCCTTTATAACAAAGACAGTGTTAAGAACGCAAATAGAGAAAGAGAAACAATATCACCTAGGATAGACATTTCTTCTGCAGTTTGAAATCAGCAGACCACAGCTTGAAGCCAGTGGGCCGTGCTTCAGTCTCAGAGGGAGGTCTTCAGGCTTACATTGGTTCAAGATCATTACTCCTCTCTCTGAAACAAAGAGGTCTGAGAATGACTAACGCATGCAAACAGCAGCGTTAATGAGCACATAGACGTGGTAAAGTAAATATTCAGGCGAGTGAGGGAAATCCTGAGTTGGCTCACATGAATGGAGAATGAGTGGCTGCAGAATGCATTGTTCTATTGTAAAGCAACTGTGTACATGTGAAAACAACTTCACATCAATGTATAGATAAAAAAAGTTCAATAACAAATGTGCCAGAGAACCTAAACATTTGCCATAAGGCTGCAGGATATTAGAAAAACATGTTACTGTAATATTATTAATGAACATTACAACATCTGTCCCTCCCTGTTCCTTCTGGGATCACTGCGTTATTGGCCATCATCATCTACAGGTGCTGGTTATAAAATGTGAATGTCATGACAAAGTTGATTTATTTCAGTAATTCCATTCAATAATTGACACATGCATTTCAGATTTTTTTCCTTACACAGACTGATATATTCCAAACGTTTATTTCTTTCTTTCTGATAATTATAACTGACAACTAATGAAAATCTCAGATTCAGGATCTCAGAATATTAGAATATTGTGAAAAGGTTCAATATTGAAGGTCCCTGGTGCCACAGTCTAATCAGCCAATTAACTCAAAATACCTGCAAAAGCCTTTAAATGGTCTCTCAGTCTAGTTCCGTAAGCTACATAATCACGGGGAAGACTGCTGACTTGACAGTTGTCCAAAGACGACCGTTGACGCGTTACACAAGGAGGGCAAAACACAATTGGGCATTGATAGAGGCTGTCTGTTCACAGAGCTCCGTGTCCAAGCATATTAATAGAGAGGTGAAGGGAAAGATAAAATGTGGTAGAAAAAAGTATACAGTGCTCAGCATAAATGAGTACACATTTGTCAGAAAACCTTTAGTTTCCTTTCAGAATCAACTTTTCTTAGTTTTTACCATACTACAAGACATTCCCACAAATGTTTATCATTGATGGCCAACAAGGTTTATTCATTTTCACACACAAACAAGTGATTTTCCTAACAAATCCTTTCAAGCCCATGTTGCAAAAATGAGTAGACCCCAATTATAGTCTTAGGAGAAAAGCCACACTTGAGACTACAAGATTCCAGTTAACATGCATCCAACCACAGGAGGGTTAAAGATAAATTTAAGAGGAGTCCAGCAGACAGGTGACTATTAAAGGGCCTTACTTAACAAAGAGAAGCCCTTCCCATTTCATTCAGTAATGGCTCCACATGGAAGAGAAATGTCACAAAATCTGAGAAAGGAATCATTTCTTTACATAAAAAGGTGAGGGCTGCAAGAAGATCCGCAAAGCTTCACATATATAAGTTAGAATACTGTAGCAAACCTGATCCAAACTTTTAAGAAAGATGGAAGTGCAACCATCAGAGATTTCCAGGCCGTCCACCGAAGTTAACATCTAGACAGGAGTGTCTTCTGATAAAGGGTTGAAGAAAATCAAGCCAAACTGGAGTGACCGTTTCCGTGACACCATATGGCGCACACTGTACAGTAGAGTAACGGCATGCATGGGTATTGTCCACGAAGGAAGCCTCTCCTAAAGCCCATGCACAAAAAAGCACCCCTAGGATTTTCTAGGACCCATGCTGAAAGAGATGAAGACTACTGGGACTGTAGACTCTGGAGTGATGAGACAAAGATCTCTGTTTTTGGAACTAATGGTATCAATACTGTGCTGCATCGTAAAGGTGAAGTTCTCAAAGAGAAATGCATGGTGCCTACATCGAAACACAGTGGTGGCAGTGTGCTTACGTGGGGCTACATGAGTGCTGCTGGTGTTGTGGAGCTGCTTTTCATTGATGGTATCATGAACTCAACAATGTCCTGCTCTATACTGAAGGGGAAGACGCTGCCATCACTCCATTCACTTGGTCATCGTGCACTTTTCTAACACGATAACGATCCAAGACACACATCTAAAGCTACTGTTGCACTTCTGAAGAAGAACAGGGTGAAGATGATTGAATGACCAAGTGTGTCTCCTGATTTTAAAGAGGGTGTTCTCATTCATGGGCTCGACACACGGGAGGCGACAAACGACCGCGATCAGCGAAATTCGTCGCTGTCGCTTTTATTACCTGACACACGGGAGGCGACCCGTGGCAGCGGCCAGACCGTCTACGCGTTCTGTGGAGTCAGTGCTTCAAGAACCACCGTTCACAAATGAATGCAAGACGTGGTTTTCAGCTGTCTCATTCCTTGTGTCAAGCCACTCTTGAACAAGAGACAGCGTCAGAAGAAGAAGCGTCTCACCTGGGCTAAAGACAAAATGGACTGGACTGCTGCTCAGGGGTTATGTTCTCTGATGAAAGTAAATTTTGCGTTTTCCTTCAAAACCAAGGTCCCAGAGTCTGGAGGAAGAAGGAGAGGTACAGAATCCACGTTGCTTGATGTCCATTTTCTTTACGCAAGTTGAAAGTTATGCATCAGAAGTAAAATACATTTGCTTTAGTCGACTAAAATAAGACTAACACTAAAACAAATTGGACGACTGAAAAGTGACAAAAATTGAAAAGAATTTTAGTCAAAAGACTAAAACTAAATAAAAAATTTTTGTCAAAATTTTCACTCCTCAGATTTCATCACACAGCTGCTGCCAACTGGCAATGTCTCACCGCGTAAATCCCAGCACCCTGCCTGGGATGAAAAAAATATGTAACACTATCCAGAAAGCTTAGAAAGGAAAACATAATGAAGAAAAAAAGGTGCAGAGCCTAAACATACCTCTGGATCACTGCTGATAAGACACAGGGGGAGTGCATGTTCGGCACAAATGAAGCGAGTCCAGCCACAGTGACAGTCATCACACACACACACACACACACACACACACACACACACACACACACACACACACACACACACACACACACACACACACACACACACACACACACACACACACACACACACACAAAGAGAAAGAGAGTCTTGGGTGTACCTACCTTATCTTCTAGTCTGATCAGTCTTGCTCCAATAGTTGGGAATTCTTTATCTTCTCCCTTTCCTAGTGAATTTATAAAAAAAGAAACAAATATCCTTACACACAAGCAAGCATTTGAAATTATAACAAACACTTTCTGTTGACATAAAATCCCCAAATCATCAATTAATGGATAAAATGACAGCAGCTGTAATGAAAAGTCCACCCAGATGAACGAACATTTGGACTGAATGTCAGTTTTTACCTTCATTCATTCAGCTTTACATCTTGTTCATGTCAACACTTTGCTTTTGTTTGGAGAGACAGTTATTTTTGTTTCATCACTGCCAAGTGATGAAATGTTTTATGATGCGAGTATTTTTCTTTTAATTTGACCAAAGTACAGTGGCATAAGAAGAATCGGTTTGATTTAAACAAAAAAAAAAAAAAAAAAAAAACGTGTGTCAAACAGCAAAAGTGCCAAAATATGTCTGCACGCCGTTTAGCAAAAATTCACATAATCACAGAAACACGCATGCACAAACACCAGGGAACTGTCTTTACTTCAGTGCTTTGTCTTGTGCATGCATGATGTGTAAACATGGAGGTGGAGTGGAGACTGATGGCTATCTATCAGATGGAGACTTTGTGTTTTTACCTGGAAGAAACATTCCCGGTTTCCCCAGGGTGCCGTCCAGCCTGAGGGGAGGAGAAAAGCAGATATAACGCAGAGAGCACACGATATTCAACTAAATATGATACGCTGTGGTACTTTATAGGGAATGTATGACAGCAACGTATAACTAGAGGGGGGAAATGATTTGAATTTGCAAGTTAGCCCACTAGAAACGATCACTCTGTTATTTCAGCAGTAGGCTTATTTGGAAAGTTGACAATGATTTTCAATATGACAATGATCAAAAACACATGGTCAAGTTACCAGAGGAAAAAGAACAAGAAGATACTGAAGACTTGGAGAGACTGTCAGTCTTCAGACCATAATCCCATAGAAAGTCTATGGATGGAGTTAAAGGTTTGAGTTGCCAAACATCAGCATGGCAAAATCATGACTTTGAGAGAAACAGTAAAAAGAAGTAGGACTAAACCCCCTTGAGATGTCTGCACATCGTGTAGAAGACACATCTGACCTTTGTGACTGCTAACAAAGGTTTTGACACCAAGTCCTAAAGCATGCTCTGCAATGGGATCAAAATTTCCTTAACTTTTTGAAAACACAATTGTTTAATTTCTCACAATATAAAAACCCCACTATTAAACCAAACAGGCAGGTGCTGGGTTTGTTCAAACATGAGGTGAAACAAAAAGATTTCAGAAGCCAATGTGCTGAAAACTATTTTTTAGATATTGTAGTCCTTGTTACGCTGTTTTAGAGGCAGACAGAACAAATACATCCAATACCATCAATAGAGGGTAAATTGGATTAAATAAATTGCTTAAGAGCTATTTATCTTTATTGTGACCCATAGCTGTGATAATCTATTAATTATAGAATATCAACGGCTTGGTCTTTAAAATGATTAGGCAGAAGATTCTAAGACTCTTTGTTTATTCAACCACATGCCTAATAGTTGTATTAGCATGGCAGAGCTAGCTGCTGCAGAAAGTTACTGTTGTAGACTTCCATGAACCATTGCTTCCACCGCAAAGTGTTATTTATGATCTTTTTGACACCAGATTAGGTAGATGGTCATTATAATGAGTCTGTTGTGTAGCTTGAACATTGGTTTTGCTTTATTTCTGGCTGTGAATTGCCCCCTTTTAGAATTTATTTCGAACATAAATAATCTGAGCAATAATAGAAAATGGCGTGAAGAGAAGAAAGCCCCAAAAGAAAGGCAGAACTATCACCTTCTCTGCAGCTCCTTGATGCGAACCATCATGTTGAGGTGACCCTGGGAATACTGCTCGATCACGTCTCGCACATCGTAGGGCTTCCGGGCTTCCTGTGGATCCATGCACATAGACACACACAAGAAAAACACACACACATGGTGGGACACAAAAGCCATTGTCAATCACAACCTCTATAGCTTGGTCCCCCGAAAACATCCCCAACCCCCTTGGGTGCAAAGGGTTCATTGTTGGCTCAATGTGTGTTTTGTGTGCATGTGTGCATGTGTGTTTGTGTGTGTGTGTGTGTGTTTGCGTGTGTGCGAGCGCACCAAAAAAAAGCACATGGTCATGAAGAGAGCAATCGTGTTAAGGCCTTTTCACAGCTTTGTTTAGTATGACGTTGATACAAGGGGTTTTGGAATGAACCCAATGAACCCTTTAGGGTCTCGCTGGTAGACACAGTTAAGTCTGAGCAGCTGAGATCACTTATGGAGTAATTGAAAACATGAAGGGCACTCAGAAACATTGAAGGAACCTGTTTTTGTGGAACCATTAAGAAGATTATTTAGTATAAATCTAATTACCTTAGCATCTCGATCATTGCAGTATGTTTTGTTACACTTTGGCACATTTTTTGCTGGCTTCTCTAGGTATTGGATGCAAACACGGCCACGGAACTCTCACCCCCTCCCCTCGGGTATCTTTACTGAGACGCTTCTGTCGGAACCGAACACCCGCAATACCAGAGGAAACAAGACTGTGCTAAACACCAGTCGCTGTTTTCTAGGTCCAGACACATTTTGTTGTCCTCTCCAAATGGTGTTTTTCTTTATGGGACTCAGGTAGTTTGTCCTAAAGTTGAAGTAGAAGCTGGCTGTTTCTCCTCCTCTGAGACCATAACCTCTCACACCAGTGATCATCTGTTGGTAAATACGCGAGTGTGTGATGAGTGGAGGACCTAATAGTTGCTAATGGTCCAAAACATGTTATTGGCGGATGTTTCTAGGCAAATGCGAAAGAACCACTTCTTTTCCTTTTATTTTATTCTCCACAAAATATGTATAGCTATACTATGTTAGCACTTTGTTAAGAGGCATGGAAAAATCCATTTTGCTTTCCAAATTCACCATTGCAGCTTTGTTCAGTGTAGGAGTGTAAGTTTGGCAAATTTTAGATTTTATCTACACTGTTCTAGAATTCTAGAATGTGACCGAATAGGGAAATGGAAACATTTGACTGAACTGAAGTGACCACAAGGTCAAATGTGCAGGTTAATATTTTCAACCTCACACATTTTGGGCCCCCCCCACTCACTCACACACACACACACACACACACACACACACACACACACACACACACACACACACACACACACACACACACACACACACACACACACACATAAACTGTTTTCACTCAAATCTTCCTTCTTCCTTATCCGTTACTTTTCACTTAAGCTTTCCAGCCAGGTTTCCCTCTCAGGATTTTCCTTACCTGAAATTTCCTCCTTGCCACAAAGTACTGCATTCTTCGGAGGACTTTTACTGCAGACCTTTGAGCATGGGACAACCTGTGATGGAAACAGAGAAAAAAACATCCTAAAGTAAAGAATATTTACTACAACAATAAAATGGGTTCAAATATGTATTACACAGAACAAGATTAGTTGGGGTTTTCAAAAAGAAATCAGCATGCTAATGTTTGCTCCCATTTAATACACCTCTGTGCTTTTATGGTAAATTCAGTAACCAATAACAAGAAACCAAAAATCTAAAACAAAAATTTTGATATTTAAAAGAGTTCCAGTGAATATGAACTTCAACTTGTTTTCAACAAAGCTTCCAAAAGTATAAATACTTTGAAATGATCTAAGCTTTGATAAAAGGCTTTTGTTTTGATACATACACTGTGTAAGGAACATGAAGACATCCTTAATAAAAATAAATAGTAAAGCTGTTGCCTGTGTCTTGTGGCTTGTTATGGTCACCTTGGTAACTGCACACCTGGATCTACCACTATCATAGTACTGCATCCTTCATTAGACAAATTAAAAAAAAGTCTAGTACAAACTAAGTCTCAATCAGTCACTGCACAAAAACTGTCAAAAACAAAAGAGACAGAAGCATCTGATGATCAAACATGTTCATTGTTGTGTTTTATGGAGGAGATGTTACAAGTTCCCTCTGGGATTAATAAAGTATCTTTGAACTGAATTGAATTTAAAACAAAGACCCTTAAGGGCTTTGATAAGTCAAAATTCAACAGCAAATCAGGCAAAAGATAATAAAAGAAAACATATCAAAAGAACAGTTTGACCATATAAAGCCAAACTTTCCATCAAAGGTCTCTGAACTATATAAATATTCACAGGGAAAGTTTGTTCCCTATCTGTCCCATCCTATGAAACACACTGGCAGTGGTGGAGATTTTGTTCAACACTTAAACTATGCAACCTTGTGCAATGTTAAAAAGAAGATAAACAGATTCAGTGTGAATTACAAATATTCCAAAAACATACATCCCTCAGTTTAAAGTAGCACATCTGTGTAAACACAATGAAAAGGCTCACTCAGTTAAAGGCCTTAGCACTGAAACAGAGACGTTATGGATGTAAACAACACACTTACTCATACGCACATACCATAGTGACTATCTGGCATGCAGTTTGGTTTGTTTTTCAAGGAGGCCCACTGAGTGCAGTGCACTGGTGCTCATTCAGTTTACTTGTCAGATGCTGAAACAAGCTCTTGAATGTTCTGTGTGTGATAGCAGCACAATTAAATAAATAAAGACTGTGTTCTTACGAATATTTAGTCAGCTCTTGTTAGTAAGTAAGTTATAACAAGTTAAAAGACTGTAAACTTAACTTTTCATTTGGCAACTGTTGGAAAAAGTTCAAAGTGTAGTCATGTGGAATAATATAAGACAGGCTGTGTGAGCCCTGTTGGGATGTTCTGCTTTCAGATCATTAAGACCATCATGATCTTTAGTAAGCTAATGTAATTTTGGCTGAATGGAGAATGAATCTCGCATATGGGAAGCCCCCTGCTGACCGATTAGACCAGCCAATTGGAGGCTCCCCAATGCAAGTTGTTGAGCTGGCCAATCAGTTGACAGTGGGTATGTTGCGTCAGTTCAGCCCGAAAGAGACCACAAGGGTAAAAGGTCTGAAAAAACGGCCAGTTGAGCACGGAAAAAAAACAGTCAACCCAGATGTGAACACAAAAATCCCTACATGAGCAGGACCTGGCTGGCCTAACAGTGACTAACATAATTGGGCACCTGGATCAGTACAGGAGCACAGCACAGAAGGGCATCAACAGAGATACCAGGAGGAGCCAAAAAATCAGCTGCCCGACAAACCAACCTGTGCACGACCTGGACAGTTCACAAGAAAGCTTTTGATTTTATGCCACACTCCTGGATTATTGAATGCTTGGAGCTGTAGAACATCAACAGGACTCTGAGACCACTCATTGCAAGTTCAATGGGGCTGTAGAAAACCACCCTTGAGGCCAATTGCAAGCCGAAAGCATAAGTCTCCATCAAATGTGGCTTATATCAAGGAGACACACAGTCCTCACTGGTGTTCTGCATAGGTCTGATCCCCCTCAGTCAAATAATCAACAAGACTGGCTATGGATAGAGATGGAGCGAGCAAGACATCGACATCGACTCACTGATCCACACCGCCAGGATCTGCAGCATTGGTACCGAAATGTCTTTCGGACTTGAGAAGTGTGGTCGGAAGGTGACAAAGAAAAGGAAGGTAGTTCCCACAGAAGGGGTTTCCCTCCCAGAACGAACATTAGCAGACATTGAGGACAGCTACAAGTACCTTGGTATCCCACAAGCAAATGGCAACCTCAATAAGGCTGTAAGGAAAGGAGCCACAGCCAAATACCCACAACAAGTAAGGCAAGTCCTCAAGTCAGCTCAATGGCCAGAACAAGATCTAAGCAATGAACAGCTACACCCTGCCAGTAATCAGATATTCTGCAGGAATAATAGGCTGGCCAAAGGAAGAAATACAGACCACAGATGTTAAGACACAGAAGCTCCTAACCACACATGGAGGGTTCCAACCTAAGTCCAGCTCCCTGACTGTACACTAGCTGTAAGGAGGGAGGCCCAGGACTAGTGAGTGTGAGAGCCACTGTCCAAGCTGAAACATCCAAGATCCATAAGTACATCAAGGACAAACAGACAGCTGTCTCAGAAAATAGAAAACAGAGGAGCTGAAGATACCATCATAGGTGGACAAACCACTAGATAGCATGTACCACAGATATCAAAAAATCCTACAAATAGCTAGAAAGAGCTGATCTGAAGGTCTGCACAGAGGCACTCATCAAGTCAGAGGACAGCCGTCGTGGTTAATGTGGCAATACCAAGTGATGCAAAATCAGGAAAAAGGAACCCGCGAAACTAGAGAAGTACCAGGGCCTCAAAGAAGAATTTGAGAAAGCTGGACAGTGAAGACATCGATGGTACCCGTTGTCATCAGGGCACTCGGAGCAGTAACCCCCAAACTGGAGGAGTGGCTAAAGCAGATCCCAGCAAAAACATCAGGCATCTCAGTCCAGAAAAGTGCAGTTCTAGGAACAGCTAAGATACTGCAGAACCCTCAAGTCCCCAGGCCTCTGGTAGAGGACCTGAGCTTGGAAGGATGAGCAGAGGGGAAGAAAGGAATTTTTAAACGGGAAAACTAGATATTACAAATCATCATATTTCACACCCTAACATCGTCGTCGTCGTCGTCTTCCTCCGCTTATCCGGGTCTGGGTCGTGGGGACAGCATCCCAACTAGGGAGCTCCAGACCGTCCTCTCCCCGGCCTTCTTCACCAGCTCCTCCGGCAGGACCCCAAGGCATTCCCGGACTAAATTGGAGATGTAACCTCTCCAACGTGTCCTGGGTCGACCCGGGGGCCTCCTGCCGGCAGGACATGCCCGAAACACCTCCCCAGGGAGGTGTCCAGGAGGCATCCTGACCAGATGCCCAAACCACCTCAACTGGCTCCTTTCGATCCGGAGGAGCAGCGGTTCTACTCCGAGTCCCTCCCGAATGTCCGAGCTCCTCACCCTATCTCTAAGGCTGAGCCCGGCCATCCTACGGAGGAAACTCATTTCGGCCGCTTGTATCCGCGATCTCATTCTTTCGGTCACTACCCAAGGCTAATGACCATAGGTGAGGACTGGGACGTAGAACGACCGGTAAATCGAGAGCCTGGCTTTCTGGCTCAGCTCCCTCTTCACCACGACAGATCGGCTCAGCGTCCGCATCACTGCAGATGCTGAACCAATCCGCCTGTCGATCTCCCGATCCCTCCTACCCTCACTCGTGAACAAGACCCCGAGATACTTAAACTCCTCCACTTGAGGTACTAACATGAGAAGGAAAATCTCACAAGACCAAATGTTTATGTGTTTATGTGTTTATTCATTTCGCAGACGCTTTTATCCAAAGCGACGTACAAGTTTTTTTTTTTTATAACCTATAGGGCATGTTGTGATGTGTGGGGGAAACTGGAGTACCCGGAGGAAACCCATGCATGCATGGGGAGAACACGCAACTCCACGCAAAAAGGCGAGTTTTGAACCTGCAACCTTCGTGCTGCGAGGCAACAGTGCTAACCACTGCGCCACCATGTAACTTCATAACTTGTGCACATCATTAAAATCGTCAGAAGAGGAGAACCGGGTCAAACATTTGGTTGATTATCCCGCCGTGGGAATCAGGCTTAAGTCGTGGTAGGAATTAAGTCCTCGTCATCCTGAAACCATCGTGTTGCTGCCATGTGAACACAGTAGTGTGTTGGTTCACACTGTCACCCCACAACAATATTGTCTATGGTAAAACTAGGGCTGGGAATTAATCTTATCACAATATAAAATGTTTCTTTAGTTGATATCAATCCACCCCCAATATAAAACAAATAACTTATTTTGTCAATCTTTATTGCTCTCTCTATCCAAAGGTTATTGTAAGGATCTGCACCTTCTGCCCCTGCTGTCATGGGTCTTGTGTCCTCTTGTTAGGTGTCAATTTGACTCACCTGTTCCTTGTTACATTTCCCACCTGCTTCCCTGATTACTCTCCTGTATTAAAACCCTCTGTTTGGGCTTGTCTTTGTCAGATCCTCATCTTGTCTCCTCATCATGTCATCCTTCCTGCCATTATTCTAATAAAACTGTAATTTTTAACTGCCAGTTGGCTTTCTTTGCCTGCTCTCCCATATTTGGGTCCAAACCAAAACACTACAATGTCAGTTAATGACAGTTATTTTTTATTTTAAATATTTAATTTCAAAAGCTGAACCTGTAAAACATCAATCAACTGATCTGAACTAATAAACAAGGTTTATTTTAAACTAAAATCTTCAAACATTAGAGGAGAGCAGGACTCAATCAAACAGACATTAAAATGTCAAATCTCAAAATATCTGCTTGTTTTAAATGTAGCTTCTTTAAAAATAAGCAATAAAAATAAGCATAAGGAGACAGGTTTTCTACCAGTAAACAACTTTCAAAGAGAAAAATAAAAACAGTAACATATCCATCATCTTTTG